CTGTAATTCCAGCTACTTGGAAGGCTGAGGCAGAAGGATCACTGGAGCGCAGCAGGTAGAGGCTGCAGTGGCCACTGCACTCCTGTCTGGGCGACAGAGTGAGACTCCAACTCAAAAAAAAAAAAGGGCCTGACTAATTCCTTCCAGCTTTTAATAAGGGCATGGATACCATTCATGAGGATACTACCCTTATGGCCTAATCACCTCCTAAAGGCCTTTCCTCTTAAAATTTTTACACTGAGGTGTAAGTTCCACCCTGTGAATTTTGAAGGGGCAAATTCATTCTAGCCATAGCATCCGCCAAACCCACTGTCCCCTTTTCCTGAATAGCTCTCCCTAAATCGCTAAGGGAAGACAATCAACAAGATAAGGGCCTGGATCATAATAGTTGCTCAAGTATTTGTGCTTATGAATAGGTCTAAAATTAAGATGAGTTGGCTCTGTGAGAGGGCCTGGCAGGAACTTGAGTGTCCAGGCTATTAAAAAATGTACTTTGTTTTGTTTCTGATTTTCAATAGAGAAGGAGGCCCAAGAATAGTATTCAGTGAACGTATCTGATTTTAGGGAGGTGGGGGTGGAGCTTGTCATAAAAGCCAAGATTTTTTTATGATGAAGTTGTTGTTGTTTTTTAAAGACAGGATCTTGTTATGTTGCTCAGACTGGAGTGTGGTGGCTATTCCTAGGCATATTCCCACTACTGATCAGCAAGCTTCGATTTTATTTAAAAAATATTATCTATAAGGCAAATCAATCATACAGGGTCAATTCTGGTCCCCTGAGTTTATCATTCTTTCTGACAACAGGTTCAAGTAATATTATTAAGGGTGTGATTCATGCAGTTTGGGAGAACATTTTTTTTTTTTTTTTTTTTTGAGTTGGAGTCTCAGTCTGTCGCCCAGACTGTAGTGCAGTGGCCGCTCCCGGCCACCGCAGCCTCGCCTGGTGGGCTCCGGCGATCCTTCCGCCTCAGCCTTCCAAGTAGCCGGAATTACAGGCATGCGCTACCACGCCCGGTGATTTTTTGATTTATTGTAGAGATGAGGTCTCGCTGCCCAGGCGGGTCTCGAACCCGCGGGCTCAGGCAATCCACTCACCTCAGCCTCCCAAAGGCGCAGGATTACAGGCTGAGCCACCGAGCCCGGCTTAACATTTTTTATATAGCTTTTGCATCTTAGAAGAACGTATTTAGGAGTATACTTTGATCCTGGTATCATTCTGAGTGTATACTACAACTTTCGTGTGTATGTTGTGCTGCTGCAATTGTGTTGTTGCTGTTGCTGTTGTTGGCTTCTGCCTGTTTTGATTGCAGGTGCCCGTGTGTGCTTTGGGCCAGGGTTCTTGGAAGCCTTGACGTGTTATCATTTTATCTTGACAACAGTCAAGTGAGATGAGTATTAGTGTCCCCACTTTACAGAGAAAGAAACAGGTTCCTGCAACAGGTTAGGTCGCCCATCTTCACATAACTTATACATGTAGAACTAGGAATTCACTTAGAGCCCTGGTTTCTTAACCATTGTTACGTTTCCTGTATTGCAGCCTTAGTATCCTCTGACATGTGGAATGTTTCCTTTAGTGTTGTTTTAATAATCTAGTCTTACTTGAAAAACCTTCAATGGTTCTCTGTTTCCTTCAGACTCAAATTTTTGAACTCTTGGTGTAAGACTCACCTGGCCACATGGTGTGTTTCCTGGCACATGACCCTGCACCAGGTGGGGGGGACTTGTCTCTTTTCCTGCTTTGGGGTCTTTGCTCCCTTATTCCCTCTTTCCATTCCCCTGGGGTGCCTTCCCTTCTGTCTTTGATTTAAGCAAATGCCACCGAGCTTTCTGTCTAGCTCCCACGACTTTCTCAGTACTTCTGTTCCTGGCAGTGCAAGGCTGGATGAGGAAGCAGTTTCGAGTTGGGCATTGCTGGGACACCAGCCCTTGTGAGGTCTCGACCCACAGGAACTGGGTCTTGTCCATTGTGGGACTGGATCTCAGTCTTTCCTTTGTTCTGTGTGTCTGTCTGTTTCTCTCAGATCTGATTGGTCTTGGTGAACCTGCCACTCCAAAGAGAGGGGTGTGTCCAGCATTTGCATAACCTCTGTTGGCCTGAAACAGCTGGGCTTTCTTGGGCCAGGTAGATCAATAGAAACAGTCTTACTTGGTTAATAAAGTTAGTCTGACTACCTTACCACCTATCACAAGATAAATGAAAGTCAAAACCATGGAGCCTTATTTATGAACAGGTTATAATGATGAGAATTGACCAGGTAACTGGTGCTAGGCAGTGTTCCAAGGGTCATGTATACATTCCTTTACATCGTGCAACTCCTCCATCATTCCTGTTTTACAGATGAAGAAATGGAAGCATTGGAGGTTAAATGGCACTGGCAGGTCTTCCCAGCTAGCAGAAAGCTGATTAGAGGTCTCAGCCTGGTTGTTCTGTCTGAGGAGTGCGCATTCCTACTCCCACACGGGACCGTCGCTCAGGACGACTGAGCTGCAGATGCTGCTTCCGTGTGGCAGCCTGGTAGAGGCCACAGAAAACATTTGAGAGAGGACCAACCTCATTCAGGATATGGAGAGAACTCAGACTAAGGACTCTCTGGGTCTCGGTTTCCTTGTCTCTAAGTAAGGTGATTGGACTAGATGTCTGGGAGGTCATTTCATACTTTGTCTCACTTATTTAGAAAACCCTCTGTTTTAGTCAGGGTTCTCCAAGAAAACAGAACCAGTGGGGGTATGCGTGTGTACATACAGAAAGAGATTGAGTGATTTTAAGAAATTGGCTCACACCTGTAATTTCAGCACTTTGGGAGACTGAGGTGAGAGAATTGCTTGAGCCCAGGAGTTTGAGACTAGCTAAGCAGCAGAGCAAGACCTCATTTCTACAAAAAAAAAAAAAAAAATTAGTTGGGCATGGTGCTGTGTGCCTGTAGTCGTAGCTACTTGGGAGGCTGAGGCAGAAAGATCACCTGAGCCCAGGAGGTTGAGATTGCGGTGAGCCACAATCTCACTCCAGCCTAAGTGACAGAGAGATCTTGAGTCAAAAAAAAAAAGAAATTAGCTCACACCTGTGGAGGAGGCATGGTAAGTCTAAAACCTACAGGGTAGTGCGGCAGGCTGGAGACCTGGGAAGGAGCAGATGTTGTAGCTTGAGTCCAAGGACAGTCTTGAGGCAGAATTTCCTCTTTTTTCTCATAAACGCCTTCTTTCTCATAAAGGCCTTCAACTGGCTAGATGAGGCCCACTCACATTATGTTGGGCAATCTGCTTTGCTCAAATTCTACTGATCTAAGGACTAATCTCATCTGGAAAACACTTTCACGTTGACATCTAGGCAGGTTTGTTATATCTAAAAATTTTGCCTTCTAGTTTATCAATCACCTGGGGTGCTTATTAAAACTAAATTATTACACTTTGAATACTCTGCTTTACTAGGCATTGACTGAGACCCAAGGTATTGATGTCTTTAGGAAGTGTCCTCATGTCCCTGAGAATGTGCCACATTTGGGAAACATTGCCCTAGTTGTGGGGGTGAAAAAGCCCATGAGGTCAGAATGTATTTAGCAAATATAAAAGGCACTGGAATCACTTAAGAAGAAAGTCACTTGAGAGGAAGAACACAAACCACCTGTCTTGGTCTGTGCTAGTCTCTTGCAGAAAAAATTTGAAATCATTTATTCATTCAGTCATTTACTTTAGAAAATAATTGAGCCCTAGCTTAAAGCTGGCACCATGGTAGATGTTTATATCCAATGCACAGAAGTCCTGATCGCTGGGAACTTATAATCATCAAGTGGGAGTTGAATAAATATCAATTAAACCCGGTGTTGATGTGCATTTATGTGTCATTATCCTTGGAAGGCAAAGTCCCAGGTGCCACAAGGTGCTTTGGTAGAGATGGTGATGCCATTGTGAAGGTAGTGCTTCATGGAAGGCTCGAAAAGTGACCTGGAGAATTCTGGGGTTGGTGGTGGAGGGGGCTGGGGAAGATCGTGTGGACT